AGCCTGCTGTTACCATTCATACTCCCAGTACGTTTTATGACTCATTAGATTACCATAAGCGGTGTTTGCACTAATACGTCTACTACGAGGCCATATGGTTTTGTGTTTTAGCAAGCAGCGGTGTGCTGAGTGACGCGGAGATTGGTATTCTGTTTCGTTATGTGACATCGACCGTACACACAGGCATAGATTTGCCGTTTCCAACGCACGGTTTGTTTTCTTTCGTCTGGAAAAAATTCTTTCTACTTCACTTGTATGCAGCAACTGATGTCAGGTCTTTTTTCCCCCCTTTTGTTCTTAGTAATTGTGGAGGCATGCCGGAAGTAATCCATTTTCTTTAGGTGAAGGAAATAACGCAATATTAGTATCTTTGGTATGTGTATGTATATGTGTATGTTTATGTGCCTGTATTTATGTGTGAATATGTGTATGTGTGTATGTGAGTGCGTGTATGTATGTGGGTATGTGTGTGTGAGTATGTGTGCGTGTATGTGTGTGTGTGTGTGTGAGTATGTGTGTGTATGTGAGTATGTATTTATCTACGTACACATGTATGTGCTAAGTTTTACCATCTTCTCCTGAATTTTGGTACTTCTAAATACAAATGTGGTACTCTAACGGCCGAAACTTTTATTACAATGCTATTTAGTTGTTTTGTAGCGTTTTCAGAGCGTCGAATTCTGAGCCGATCGCGCTATGTGGTTCGACGTTTCATGAATTTGAACAAGAATATTTGCAAAAAACAGCGTAGCACCATTTGGTACGTTTTCCCTTTCAAAGCTGCTCGAAGCACAATGTCACATTCTATTTTAGCTTCCGAAATTGTTCTCTGGTTGTTACAAAAAGAAAGGATCTCAAAGGGGCAGGTCAGGGCTTTTATGTAGTTTTTGCTGGGTGGAGAGGTTATTCAAGCCGTACGGACCTTTGATCGCCCCAGGAGGTGGAAACCCTCAGGAGCTTGGTGCATACTGAATAAAATGCCCATTGCTCAAGCCAGCCTTGGAAAAGACAATTGTACATAAATTAGTTTGTTTCCCCTTGGATAACTGGAAATTAGGTGCAGCTTTTTGTCGTAAGAAATTCGAAAAAAACTCGGTGTGTTTTTTTTGTGGTCGTTTTGAAAGGAAATAACTACCGAATGTTTGCTGCTGACGTAAATAGCAACTAATAAAACTCGACTCGGCTGACGAGTCGCACTGACGGGGAGTTAGAGGGGAGGGGCTGGAAGCAAGAGGGGAAAGGCGAGGGTCGGAAATGGCGATTTAGGCTTCGAAGTCGTGACCGAGTAAGTTTTAGGACGAGCTTAAAAAACTATAGGGAACACTGTGCCACCATTTCGCAGTTATCGCAGCTCGTTTTTATTCCTGGCCGATCTATGGGAACATACCAGTAGCACATACTTATTGTCCGAGAAACCTCTTTATTTTTGGGTATAGGACGAGGGAAATTGATGTTACTGATAATGATGAACAGTCGCAAAAATCGCAGGATCATCTGATTTATTGCTACTGAAGCTCCAGACCGTGGCAGATCGTTTTTCGTTCAAAATTTTTCTTATCAGTTTGTACTCCCTTCCCCTCCCCCGCCCTTCTCCACCCGCTGCTTTCATCATCAACGAACGCATACCACTGAGGAACAGTTTATAATTATACTTATATACATATATCCTGTGTTTCAGTCTTTCTCTGTCTATAAAAAATTTTTTGTTATACAAACATCGTCATCGATTCAAGGTTCATTGTGAATCGCGAAATACTGGTGACAGCGCTTGGAATCTATGGCTTAGTACAGAATGAAGCGAATGCGGAGGGCAGCGAATGGGAAACGACCGTTGATATTGAGGTTTTTATAGTTCACACACACACACACACTGATCAGAGAAGAACCCCGTGTCTCTCTCTCTGATCAGTTTATTTTATCATATTTTATCACAACAATATAATTTTGTTTTTGCTCAAAATATTGAAGAGAAATTATTGTTAAATGATAAACTTGCAGTGGAAGAAAATGTACAAAAAAAAATAATTATAAGGCATGAGAATATTTAGAACAAAACTAATATGATTATCATTATATCATTGTCATTTTGCTTTTAAGCAATCCTCAGAATAAGGGGGCTAACGATGGTTGCTATCCAGCATAGCCTAAAATTTTCGAGCACTTTTGCCTCATGTAGGCAGTGAATGCGGAGGAGGTTTAGCTTTGCCTGGGATGTTACGCTCTTATTCCACTCTCTTTTCACCATTTCTGATCATAGGAAGATCTAGGACGGGTCCGCTGGAGAGGGAGGGAAGAGGGGTGGGAGGAGGAGAGTCTTCTCCCACCCTAGAGCGATGCGAAAACTAGGGATAGAGTTGTAACATTGCTACTTAGAGTTAATTTAGAGCCGCTTTAGGCTCTAGTTTCAGCTTTAGAGCCGGACTTTTGCAGCGCTGGTACCTTCATCCCGGGAGATGAAAGACCCGTTTCCTCCTTCCTCCCGTCTCCCTGTTGGACCCGCCTGTGATTTTTATTCTGAGATAGAGGGGGTGCGATTTATATTTGTTTGTGTAACTTGAAATAACTGCGATTCGATCTCCTGTTATCGTCCAGCTTTGTGCTTGGCAGTTTCTGTAGTTGTCTTGACCGATGCTGCGTCGCTTCTGCAGTCAGTGTGCTAGCAACTCAGACATTCGTTCCGTCTCCTGGAGAGGTCAGTCATCTGAGCGGTTCTCCAGGCCGGTAGATGCTGGCAAAACTTTAGCCTTTTGAAGATACCAGTGGTATCTGTTGACAATTATCCCTCGTTTCATCCCGAATGTTGCAATTCGTTGACCTTGATGCTGAGATACTTCACCGAGTAGCAGTTTTCATATTTGTATTGATTTTACAAAAAAAAAAGTAAAAAAAAAAATTATTAATGAGATGAACAGATCGATATGAAGACGGATGAAGAATGCGGGAGCAGAAC